ACCGATCTTTAAGCAGGCCTTCTCGTAAATTCAGATCTCTTTTTTCAAAGAGTCTCCTTTTTACGTTAACATTTTCAATACAGTTTTTCGAAAAGCCCCCACTATCTTATATAAATTGTTCTCACAGCCTTTGCAAGGTTCCCCCTTTTACATGTGTTTAACAGGCTATTTACAGACACCCCCCCCCTCCCCCCCACACCACCACCACCTCACCCGTACAACCTGTAGGTTTTCCGTTTACATGGTTTACACAAGTTTCTTACAGCCTCCCTTTTTTCTTTACATGGTTTTTAAATGTTTCTTACAAGTCCCCTTTTCTGATTTACATGGTTTTTACGTGTTTCTTGCAGGCCCCCTTTTTTGATTTACATTGTTTTTACACGTTTTTTACAGGCCCCATTTTTTCATTTGCATGGTTTTTACAGGGTTACAAACATAACATTTCCAGACTTTCTACAGCGCTCGGTTGAATTATTTACATGTTTAATACAGCAATTTACATGTGTTTTATAACGGGAGATATTGTAAAAGTGCGTAAAATATTTTACGTGTTCTTCAAATAGCCATTGTCGACAGAGACAATGTAAATCGCTATTTACAGTACATGAACATGCTGTACTAAAATCTATAAATTTTTATCTGTAATTTTATTTTACGAAACCCCAACATGTAAATTGTAATTTACAAAGAAAATTGACATGTCCATGGAAATTTTAACTTTTCCAGTGTAGAGTGCCAAATAGCCGTCCACCAAGTCTGTATGGGCATGTGACATTTAGTGATCCTCCTTTTGGGCTCTCAGTTATGACTGATCCTCCCTTCTGTCATTCTAAAAATCCAATGACCCCCCCCCCAAAAAAAAAATTCCTCCGCCGCCCCTCCCCCACCCCCAGGCGATAAATAATGACCGGTCCCTGACAATACCACAGAAGTAATTATAAACCTGAACTCTATCATTTCTGAATCGCTAGTGAGGTCCCAGTCGATAGTTAATGTAAAGGGAATAACATTTTGATTTCACTAGACCAACATTTTTTTTTTGTTAACTCGTGTGTAAGGAGACACCAAAAACGAAATCCACATTCGTAAGAGTGGAGATTATTCGCGCTGAAATTAACGCAGGCAACTACAGTACTGCGCCGCACTTCTGTTTTATTTGAAAGAACACAAGAATTTATTTTGGAACTGGCATTTCAATTAAGAAGGTTACTGTATTTTCTCGATTAATAACCCTTTAAACTCCCTTAGCTTTTGTTTCAAATTTGGCCCGGCTGGGTAGGCATATTTTATTTGTTTATTTCTCGATTAATAACCCTTTAAGCTCCCTTAGCTTCTGTTTCAAATTTGGCCCGGCTGGGCAGGCATATTTTATTTGTTTATTCGTTGTATTCTACGGTAATTTTTGTTGCATTTCTTGAGGTCCAGCTTGCAGGTAACCGGCTTTTAATCGAGCAAATACGGCAACTGTCGCTTTTCATAGTTAAAGATACTAAGCAAAACAATCTTTATTATTGAGTGAGTGAGTGAGTGAGTGA